CATCCACACCGGCGAGAAGCCTTTCCGCTGCCCCGACTGCGGGCGCGGCTTCTACGTCAACTCCAAGCTGGGCCAACACCGGCGCATCCACACCGGCGAGAAGCCTTTCCGCTGCCCCGACTGCGGGCGCGGCTTCTACGTCAACTCCAAGCTGGGCCAACACCGGCGCATCCACACCGGGGAGAAGCCCTACGGCTGCAGCGCCTGTGGGAAGAGCTTCCGTTACAAGCAGCAGTTCACTCGCCACCAGCAGCTGCACCAGGGGGAGGAGCCGGTGGCTGTCCTGACCCTGGGTGGGGTCAACGTCCTCCTAACTTAAAGTACAGGAATTCCTTGGGCCTCCTGTCTTGGAGCATGGGAATTCCTTGTCCAGATTTCCTGCAGCTCTGGGAGTGGGGTCTAGTGCGGGGGGTGTGTGTGGAGGGGAGGCTGAGAGTCAGGACTGCTGGGTTCAATCCCTGGCTCTGGAAGGGGAGTGGAATTTAGTGGTTAGAACAGGTGGGGGCAGGACTCCTGGGTTCTCTTCCTGGATCTGGGAGGGGATTGAGGTCTGGGGGTAGAGCAGGTGGGTGGCAGTCAGGACTCCTGGGTTCTACCTAGAGTTTTTGGGGCGGGGGAGTGGGGTCTATTGGGTTAGTGCAAGGCGGGGCCGCCAAGAGTCAGCACTAATGAATTCCGTTCCCAGCTGTGATTGAGTATTTGGAAATTTGTGTGGGGGAAGGAGGTTGGGAGTAGCTGAAAACTGATGTTATAGGGAGCCTTGGTTTAAGCTACCAGGACATCACCAGAGCTAACCTCCAGGTTAGTGGTTCAAATCTAGCTGAGGCAAGGTGCTCCCAGCCTGAGAGATACTAATTCAGTGTGTTGGAACCCTTCCCACCGCAAAACTGCCCTGGGATTCCCCTCCCATCTAGGGCATGGTGGTCACACACCTGTTCATGACTCACCCTTCCATTATAGCGACTAACAGACTGTAGACTCTCAACAGTTCCAAAGGCAGTGTTCTCGGTCTCTTGGCTGTGTTATATCGGTTTGTATGCGCTCATTGTGTGTTTGTGTGTATTGGTAAAATACCAACCCTGCACTGATAGCGTGCTGAGGTTGAGACGTATAAGTAGTTGCAGGAAGGTCGGGGGGGAATTAAAGTCTAAACTTCCCACCTCAGTATTAACCTCACTGCACCAAGTCATTGTAACAGGGTCCATCCATTGCAGCAGAAGAGAGGAGGAGTCTAAGGGCTTATCTGCATTGGCAAATTGACTGCAGTAGATCCCTATGTGGGTTCTCTGTTCTGAGAGAAGAGGGATTTGAGTCTAGAGTAAGGGCATGCTACACTTGCAGATGTAGAGCGCTTTGAGTTAAACCAGCCTTGGGCGAGCGCAGTAGGGAAAGCGCTGCAGTCTGTCCACACTGACCGCTTCAAGCGCACTGGCGTGGCCACATTTGCGGCACTTGCAGTGGCACTGGGAGCGGTGCATTATGGGCAGATATCCCAGCATGCAAGTGACTGCAACGTTCTTTTCAAATGGTGGGGGTAGAGTGGAGTGTGACAGGGAGTGTGTTGTGTGTATGTGGGGGGCGAGAGAGTGGGTTTTGGGGGGCTGAGAGTATGTCAGCATGTTGTCTTGTAAGTTCAGACAGCAGCAGACCCCTCTTTCCCCCCGCCTCTCTCTCTCACAGCATTCCACAGTAATGGTTGCTTTGTCTCGGAGCAGATAAGCAGCCAGCTGTCAGAAACGGAGATTTGAAAGGGCATATCGGCATGCCTGCAGTGATTCCAAAACAATGACAAGAGTGGCCACTTGACTTAAGGGGATTATGGGATGTTTCCGGAGGCCGATCAGAGCGCAGTAATGCAACACCCCGTTCACACTGACGCCCGGGCGTTGTAGTCAAGGCACATTAAACGTTACTCCAGTCGCCGAGGTGGAGTACCAGGAGCGCTCTAGCTGCGGAGTCAGAGCGCTCTACGTGTCTTGCCAGTGTGGATGGGTAATGAGCTAGGGCGCTCAGGGCTGCTTTAATGTGCTCTAACTCGCAAGTGTAGCCAAGTCCTAAGTGGTTCACTTCAGAAGCTCACTAATTTTTCCAGAATAGAGTGGCCACCTGGGGAGCTTATTCCACATAGATTCTGGTCAGTTTCCCCATATAGACAAGCCTTAAAAGGAGAATTGAGAGCCAGTATTCCTGGTGTCTCTTCTCCTCTAAGGGTGGAGTGTGTGGTCTAGTTAGAGTAGAGAGGACTGGGAGTCAGGACGTCTGGATTCTATTTCTGTCTCTGCTGCTGACCATAAGGGGGCAAGTAATTTCCTCGCTCTCAGTTTCCCCACTCTTAAACAGGGTGATAACACTACTGAGCTGAGTTTTTATTAGTTAATATTTATAAGTGCGATATAAGTATTAGTACTGTAAGTAGACCTACCACTAGAGGGCATTCAGTACACTATGTGGATGAATTATGATGTTATTTAGGGTCAATAGACAGTGACTCAAATTACTACCTCCTTGCATCTGAGGCTATGATGGAAAAAAGATGCATATCCCTGGTGTTACGTACTGTCCGGTGTTGTTTGGCCGAGTGCTATGCTCAAATGGGCCATTGTTGAGTGGTCACATAGTAAAGGGTCATATTGTTTATTCTAGTAATTCTGGGCTATAGTCTTGGATCGTCCTAATTCTGTTTTGTGAATTTCAACCTAGTGGGTTTTAGTTTTGTGAATTTAAATGTAACCCAAACAGATGTTCTGGTCATTGGCCAAGCTATACCCATAGCTGTTGGCAACACAAATCAAAGGCCTAAAGACAATGCTTACAGTAATGGAAGAGATTCACTTTAGCTAGTTCTGATATACTGTTTGCTGGTCCATGGATAGAAACCAACAATTTTATACACATACTTGAGTCATTATGTTGGCATAAAGTTTCATTGTGTCATGTTTGGAGGGGGAAGGAACTTAGATTCTCTCCTCCCTGTCTGTGGTTTTCTTGTATTGACTGTACTCCTGGTTAACTGATAATGATTTCTTTGACGTAAAACCTCAATACATCATATATATATTTCAAAATCCTTATCAGATTGGCAGTGTGTTTTATAGGCACTTTGGGAGGGGAAGTGGGTTGCAGCACGGGAGGCTGGGAACCTGGACTTATGGGTTATCTATCCCAGCTCTGGGAGGGGAGTGGGGTTGAGTGGGTTAGAGTGGGGAGGAGGGGAGCTAGGACTCCTGGG